CTGAAAAATGTTTTTACAGATCTCACAGTGTCAGTTCATTGATTTATTTGTGGCGGCCCACCACATTATCACATGAGTTAAATCTTATGTCATACTACAGCTTGTGCGCAGCAGACTGATTCACTCTTTCTCACACACACACACACACACTGACAACAGACCACCATAGGCGTGCTGTATTTATTATTTTAAAGATGAATTGTTGAGGTGAGGGTGGCGGCGAACGGCCTCACACAGCCTCTCTTCAAACTCAGTGTACATGTTCGTTTTCCAGCTCATGTGCAGTTGGTTCCTTGTAGCATAGCGGCCGTGTGGACCGTCTGCAGGGACATAACAAATTGGTGGGTATGTGGATGTCTGCAGAGCCTCACGTACACCCTCCAATGATGAAATTTACATCACCTGACCCTAGTGGACCCTCACATACAGGCGGACGCATAAAATATATATTGGCACATTTGGTCTTTGCAAACTGAAATGATGCAGGCCTACGTGTTTATAGCAGGGAAGTGAGATCCGATCATAAGTGGTCACTCGAGATGCATGTGGAGACGCATTTTAATGCAGGGTGTGAAGAGACGTACTTAGATGCATCTTAATGCTGGGTCTGGACAGGGCCATAGTAAAAGTAAAGTTTTAGAGACACATAGTTTTCACAGAACAATGCTGTATACATGTGAAAAAGCTGCCGGACACTGTGATTAGTCCTCCTGATCATGTTGCTCAAACTTTTCTAGAGTGACTGCACTGCACGAGACAACCTATATCAATTCTTCTTTGTGCAAAAACGTGTTGTAAAATTCAGCCAAAGACAGTATGAAGCCTCAGCAGTCTGAGTTAGCTAAACTGAGTGTTAATGCTGGTGTTAAAACAGTCAAAAATTATTCACAAACAAATGCCAAGTTATTTAACTGGTAAAACACAATGCACAAATAAATGCACAGTGATTTGTATCTATAAATCTGTATCAGTGCCTCTAATCTATAACTCGTGTATCATCATATGTAAGTCAGCTTAACATTTTTAAATGTTATATTTCTGAATCTCCTCCTACTCCTGTGGATCCTTTTGTGTCCATCTTGTGTCACACAAAATTCACATATGCAGAGAAGAGCTTTCCAAATACACAAATGATGATACACGAGTTGTAAATTAAATGTACAGATACGAATCACTGTGTTACATAACACATGTTTATGAATATTTCTGAGGGTGTTTTAACACCATAGTTGTGTCCCTACAACAAACCAACCTGTGACCGCCTTCCCTCCTATACAGCTGAGCAATGAAAGACTGTCCATAGAAATACGAAGAGGGAATTTTGTACTAAAAGGACAGTCATTTCTTTAAGAGAGCCACTTCATTTGGAAAACTCAGACTGCTGGAGCCTCATTTTAACTTCAATTGAACTTCGCAATGCATTTTCATTAAAATAAGTGCTGTGAGTTTTGTCCCTGATTTCTTAAAAGTGCAGGTCTGGTTTCAGCTTTGAGTCAGTGCATTTCCAGACAGCCTATTGAAAAGTGAAGTGAAAACAGTTGAATAGACCTTTTTTCAGAGCAGACATTGTAATTTGTTTAACACAGATGTAGCTAATACTATCATTATTTACTGCCTTTCAGTAATTACTGACTGGAACCAGTGACTGTTTATGTTTTAATTCCCACCTGTCTGCTATTAAAAACTGTTTTAGAAACGATAAATGCTAGTGATGTTAAGTGCAAAATAAACATGTTTTTTTTAACAGGGAAGAAAACAGTTCAGTCTGGGTATAACAGAAGAGCCTCTTGTCTTTTGTTTGGAATACCTCTGGCAGTTTAGTTTAGTTTAGTTTCATTTAAATTAGCATTTTACATTTGTACAACAGAAACATGGAGACATGAAGTTCAAGTTCTTGTAAATTATATTTTAATAAAATTCTACTTCCTCAAAACTGCTATGGCTTTTTAAAAAAATGCAACAAACATGCATTGGACGAGAGTGTGGAATTTTTTTCAGATTCAAACGGGGACACGAGAGAAACGCTTTGCTGATCTTCACAGGATCACGAGTGGCAGGGTCATTATTCACGGCTGAACAACAACCAGGTCCAGTTTTTGTTTTTTATTACAAAACAAGATAAAATCAGTACGTTATAAATATGAACACACTGGACTTGTGTTTGTACATTTGTGATTCAGACCTCGTTTTAATGTAATTAGATAAATGTGTCCACATACGCTGGGTTTTAATTGGACACTTCTGCAGCACATTGATATTTGTCACATTACTGTGATATTAGCAGCAAATAATTGTCATCATTTGAGTACAGCCAATAATTAAACCATTGAGTGTATGTAAACAAAGCCCGCCATTAACATTGTCTGTTTCTGGGTTTTTATCTCTCACTCACACATTTTCCCACTGTTCTCACCTTCTACTCTCTCTCTCTCTCGCTTCAATCAGCCGTTATCTGTCTCTCTCCCACATTAATCTTCTCCCTTTTCTCTACTCTCACCCACCTCTCTTTTTGTGCCCATTCGCCACTAAAGGATCCATTTTCCATTTAAGGATCTCCAGTGCTGTCTACGGTCCTTGAAAGTCCTGCTGAAAGTTCTAAAAGTAACCTGCTGGATTGTACTATTTCTCTTTTACCCGATTCACTCCCCTTTCCAAATCTCTTTCCATTAAAGGCGGCTAAATCAGTAGAACCGCGATGACCTGTCTGTCTAAGTTTTATGAAAAGGCAGCTGTAAGTTTCCAAGGACACATTTCTGAATGATGGAACAGTGACAAACTCCATTTAATGCCTTATTAGCGAAACATACAGCATGAACTGCAGTCAGAGATACAGTGTGTCCTTAAGGCTGGGAACACACTGGCTGCATGGCGTGTGTGTGTGGCGGCTGCGGAACATACTTGCTTTCATTTAGTCACCCATGTAAACGGGTTAGAGCGGACGCACTGCCTCGCAGCTGCGTTGGGTGATCTAGAGATTTGTCATCTAGCCTTTTTTTCACGTGATGCGTGCAGTTCCCAGCAAAACAGACAGAGAAAAGACCTGTTAATGTCGTATTGACATCATACTAGCAACATTCATTAAAATTCTCACTATAGTTTCAATCTCGGGGCTCAATCTGAATATGACACAGGCATGAAAAAATATAAATAATACATTTTTTAAACCATTTTAGCATCTGCACATGGAGACAGTGGCATTTTATTGACATTTTATGCCAAAAATATATCAGAAATGAATTTATAATGAAAAGAAATCCAACATTTGAGTAGCCTGCTGATGGCTGTTATCCAAGGAAAACCCTGTGTAGAAAGATAGAGCTGGTGGTAGCAGCGACGCAGGGGACACGCACACATAACGGAGGCAGGTGTGAGGCAAGAAGTATTCTAAAAAACACACCCTCCACCTATGGCCCTTGCCAACAGTGTTTGTACATGTCAGTGGCCACGCCGCTTCTCTGCCACGCACTCAACAGAGTAGACGCAGAAGGAGGTTTGCCCAAAAAATTGCTGGACTTTTTCACAAAAAGTCATTAAGTTGGCAACAGTTACAAAAAATTCCTTGGTGTCCAGTTAAGTTTAGTCAATTCAAGGTCAGGAAAATACCGAACGGTCAGAGTGCTAGTTGCGCTGGTCAGTGCACTGCCACAAAATATGGCCAATTATATTTAAAGTCCTTCGTCAATTCCTGTAAGTGCTAGCTAGTTTCAAACTAGTGATTTATTAAATGTGGTCACACCGTTAAAACTTAAAATAATTTCTCAGCTAAGAAAAACTAAACTAACTAAACTAAAATCATCCAATCAAAATCAATTAACTACATAAACAGGAAGTCAGTGTGAAACTGTTATCCAGTCAAACAATATATTAAATTTGACTGCCAATTCTTTATAAACGTACAATGAAAAGTATGAGTGTCAGAGTTGGTAGTATTCGTGCAGTTTAGGATGAATAGGAAATGCCTGATTATACTAACTGCACCAATGCTATTTGGTCGTGTAGTGTATTTATATCAACACCTTTATGTAAACATACCGACCGTGCTCCATGTTAGCCATTTTACTCCTCAGATTTACATGGGTCAGTTGTTAGCAAGCTAACATGCAGTTTGTCAGCTGGTCCAGTTACTTCACTTACATCCATCAGTGCATAGGTGTAGGTGTAAATATCTAGGAGTGTAATCTAGCTAGAAGTAGGTTTTGTGTTGCAACCTGTTTTGTGATGCGTGAATCTTGACATTCATACTTATCTTATAACTAGAATAAGTTTTAACTTACAGAGAGATAGTAGAGTCAACGCCTGTACAACATAATTCAATCAAATACCACAGCCCTGCAATAAATAACCTTATGGGGATTGAAATGTTACATTTGTATTAAGATCATGTCAAGAGGGGTCCTAATTTAATAGTAGGTTTAAAAGTACAGAACTACATTATGTTGTACACTGATGTTGATTTATTCTATTCTCATGTATTCTGTAGGTATCTTCTTCTTCAAACCCAATTTTAGCCTCATGATCACGCGTGTAATACATGTCATTTCATAAGGCAAAAAGGTGGATCTAAGTTACTTAGGTACAGCGCTGTATACTAGGAACAGATTTACCTAAAAATGGACTGATAGGACAGGATATGAAAACACAAACGCCCAGATGGACTCCAAAGTTTTGGCTTTCTAAAAAACTCTATACCAGTTCCAGTAATTCAGCTTTAAATGCAAAACAGTGTTCAAACAACTCCTATTTACTGTAATGAAACACTCATCCACTTTCAAGTTTCCAAGAGGGTATTCTGCAACGCCCTGTACACTCTGTTATTTCTGCCACTTAACTGTGCCTTTCTATTTACTTCAGTAAGTTGTTTTTCGAAAATATATTTAAAGTCAGTGATTTGGATTTAAACCAATACCAAACTAATTTCATAAACTCTAAACTTGATTCACAAAACATAGTTCATAGTCATTACCTCTCTTAAGTGCAAAAAAACTAAAGAACATACTCACTTGTTGTTCCAGTCGATCAGTAACATCAGGTAGTAGACTCCTCTCCCTCCCCAGCTCTGGCGTGGTCACAATGAAATCCACATCATGGCCAAACTCCTTCCCCCTGGAGGTAAAAACACAACACTGTTACACACTCACTGCATCCAGGATAAATGAGGAGAATTATCTTTCAGTCTCGATCTTTAACTGATGAAGAGGGAAAGTGGCAGACGGAGCTATTAAAAGCACAGGCCAAGCTAATGACACTGACTTTTTTCATTATTCAAACAAGTCATTTGTACTAAGTTGTTAAGTGTAAATGCTCCCTCTTTGTTGCCGCAGCTGTCACAGCTTAACTTTTATGAGAATCATCATTTTCTACTTGGATCTGTGTCATAAAGCAGACCCATATGGAGTCTGACTGGGCTCACACAATGCGCTCTCTCTGTCAGCAAAACTGCAGCAAAGGGCTGTTTCAGTACTGTAAGTGATTATCAAGTGATTATCAGGCAGGAACAGATACAACAAAAAACTCAGCCAGACCTCTGTCTGGAATCAGCCCAACAAATCACTGACAACACACAGATTTCAAATCACTCCTGTTATTCAGGACAATGACTGAACATGCCGCTTGGTATTATATATGTATGTCCTAATATTTACCTCAGAAACCCTTCCACACGCTGTGGGTTAGAAATATGACTTGGTTTATAAATTTCAGGGTTGGAATTTATTTTGTTACAATGAGTGTGGTATACTTTATTGAAATGCATATAAATAATTACTGAATAACATTTCAGCTGCCTTTTGAGATAACTCATAAGAGTTGTTGTGACCTTTGACACCAGCCTGCCCACAGTCTGAGATATGTTTATTGTGAACTGTTCCGACTGGACTTTGTTATTCAGGGAAGACACTAACTATGACCTTGTCCTCACTGCAGTTCGGTACAACAGGCTGCTGGGGGAAGGAGTAGTTAAGCAGATTCTATACTGTTTCTCACGAATAGAGGTTGTTTCCTGGGCCCAGAATAAATACATTAATTTAAGTCAACGGAGACTGACCAGAGAATGTGTTTTTTTTTTTTATTCATCAATTTGGCATCGTCAGCAGGTTTGGTAAAATAGGTTCATGAGAGCTTCAAACTTTTCTGCTTGGCTGTGCATTTTATTTAGTTAAACATTAGTATTATTTAGTCATCATCCGTCAGGTGTGGGCAAACTGCCGAGTCTTGACCTGAGGAGCTGGCCCCTCCCGCGTTGAGCCATGTGTTTGCTTAGTGGGTGTTTGGTTTCACAGATATATGGGTCTGCACATTCCTCACTGCACTGGACTATGAATACACTAGATTGCTTTTCTGGGTGTGCGGAACCAGTTTTTGTTTTAGTGTGTTGCTGGGTTTGAAAAAACACGTGGATGCAGTGCTCGTTGAAGATCCTCTGGAGTTTCTCAGATACTCCGCAGACGTATGGGATGACAATGTTTATTCATCTTTTCTCCACCACCCACTGTGTCTGTGTTATTCCTGGATCCTGGGGCTGTTTGTGTTCATCTTTGTGACCAGGTGTTTGCGCTCATTCATGAGGATGCATTTGAAGCTTGTGGATGCCTCAACTGGAATCTTTTGTGAAAACATAACACCAACACTGGCCTCGATTCAACCTTTCTTGGATAACCGTAGCAGCAATGTCCACTGACATGATACCTTAGGAAACGGAATCACCTGTGTGAGCTGCATATTTTATAATATAGACCCGCTTAGTCTCCACAGTGCACCAAAGCTGTGCATACATGCAAAATGCATGGCACATGTCTGGACGTACAACTCAGCATACTGAGCAGTTGTTCCAGAAGGCAGTGGGAGCACCATAACACCTGCTTCAATGGTTACATCATAACCTGAAAGATATTGGGAGTTTGCAACGAATCAGGCCAAAGTGATGTAGCTGTATCAACCATCATGAACACAACACGATGGTTATAAAGTGGAGCTCTATGAACGGAAACACTCCAGCTGGACAGAGCGGTCCCTTCGTAGCCTGATCTATGATCTATGAACAGCTGTGTGGCACCAGAATGAACAGGACTTTACATGTGGAGCCCATCACAACGGGGATTGACTTTTCAGCGAAGACACCTGTGGCAGCAACAGCTCACAAACCATTAAAGATATCCTGTACTACAGGGGGCAGCTTAGACAAATAGAAAGCAACAGAGTGGTAATGAGAGAAGTTTCTGAACCAAAATACCTGAGGTGAAGCCTTCGTTCTCATGCACATACAGGGGAAATGTTAGTCTGACAAGCCCAAGGCTGCAGATATGAATGGAGCCTTCAAGTCTCTGAATACAGCTGTCATACGTCCATAAGTGTACCTCAGGTAGGTAACCCTTGGCTGACAAACCAGCAGCTTGGCAAGCAACACTCTATGACCTTTCAAGAGGAGAATGGAGTCTGTTCTGCAGGCTTCTTCACTAGGGGAAAGCGATTTGTAGAGAGTGGACAGTTCTCTGCCATACTATACATGTTGCTGACCCTCAAAGGTGAAAGCAAAGCTTTACTGGCTATTAGGATGTAGGACTGTCCATCACTGTATCAAATTTAGAAATGGTTGATGAGTAGGCCAAATTGGAGTTAACATCAGGCACAGTGGGTGCTATAGGAAGAAGAACAGTATTAAAGGTCCCATATAGTATTAAGTAGCCTGAGAGAGGAGATGCATATTAGGAAATGCAGGACAGAGGTCACAGGCCATCTGTGGAATAGATAGTTTTGTTTGATGTTTATCACATCACCGAAAAGGGGGGAACTATGGGAAGAATTTACTGACGGTATATAAATAATTTCTAATTCCCTGTTTAACTGGCTTTTGTAAGAACCCATAAGGACAGTTGTACCTTTGATGCCAGACTGTCCAGTTGCCTTGCATTTTTACCAATGAACGTTTGGCAAAAATTACTAATTACTAAATTATAGCATTAACTGCTAAACACATGGTGACAGCATTTTCTTGAAGCTCCATGAAATGTGAATTTCATCAACACTGTGTGCACAAGCAGCATCACCTGTCCTTGGAAGCGAATCTGTATTTGTACATTTGTGCTTTTGAAGGACACGAGAGGAGCTTATTTGATTGGCTTTCACTGAAGCCCACTCCATCCCCACCTGCTGATAATGTATTCCTCCTACCAGCAACATATTCATCATGTTCCAGCCAGTTCTCCAGATTGGTGCATGCTGTGCCAGGATTGCACATGCTCACCTCCAGTCCAAACAATTACAAAAGCAGTTGGCCACACCCACGTGAGTCTACACAGTGAGCCCGTGTGCGCGGTTCTGCTTACACCCCGATTCACAAAAAAATATATTAAAGCTTGCAGACTTCAGTGGTTTAAGTTTCCTGTGAAGTCTCAATAATTCAAATGATCAAAGACACAAAGACGTGTGCCTCCCAGTTACGGGGGATTGAGTGGCTTTATTTATGGCTTGGTGTTTTCAGCGTTTAAGCAAGATGACAAGAGAATTATGACAAACACATATAACTCAGGCAAAGTGGAAACTGTTCCAAAGTGTAAATATGACAGTGAATGTGTCTCTGTGTGTGTGTGTGTGTGTGTGTGTGTGTGTGTGTGTGTGTGTGTGTGTGTGTGTGTGTGTGTGTGTGTAAGCCCTGTGATGGACTGGCCGTGCTGAAAGTGTTTCCATGCCTTTAACTCAGTGCATGCTCCAAGACAGGCTCCAGGATGACTCAAACAGCAGTCACATGGAACGTTAAACAGCAACACTGATTATAACCCCCCCCCCCCCCACTAAAGCAGCCTCATATGGCAGGTTTTCCATCAGCCATGAAGGTGACAGCAATGCTAACACAAAGACACAACAAACACAAACGACCAGAGCTGAAGTTCCAGCCTCAAATGACAAAGGTTTCCTCTTCCAGGCCTCGCCTACACCGGTGCTACCTGCCAAAAAGCCAGGCATCATTTCAAACTGATCATTACCCAACACCCACTCACACACACGCACAAACAGTTATATGATAAACGATAGGCACAATCATACAGCACTAGTGTCACAGCTAATAACAAAAGGGATATGACAAGGGGGCGATATGTTCCAAAGAAGCCTCGGCAGCAGCGAGGCTCCGTGTTTGATCTCTCCTCGCCGCCTCTAACAAATGAGTGACGGCGGCAAGAGAGAGGAACATTAAAGGGATGGAGAGAGACATGAATGACTTGTGGGAAAGCTTCAAAGGTCACCATGGCTAATTCAAGGAGCAAGGAAGTATTAAAAAACAGCCATTAGAGCTCCACAAGGCATGATAATGTTAATGGTTAGCATTAGTGGCAGAGAGCATGTACCCCTGTGGCATTAACGGACTGAGTGCCTGGCTCACAGGTTCACTCAGCAGATGCTGCTTTAGTCACAGTCATTTGCACTGTGACTGTATATAATTTATTCTCTTTCTAAAATAATAGGAGACGTGGGAGTACTCACTTTTACATTTGCATTAAATGAAGTGGTCTTCGTGTAGGAGTTTTGTGAAGAGTTTACACTTCTTCAATGAGTTGACTGGTAGTACAGAGCGATTTGAGAATGCATCACAGATTTCCATCTGCTGAATGTGCAGCTTTCCCCCAAAACTCTTAACTGGCAAAGCTGAGACTCTACAACACTTCCAGCTTGTACAGTGCACTCAAGTTGTTGAGTGAATCTCACTGCTAGCCTCTGCTGCGCTGGCAAAACTCACTTGAGTGCACTGCATAAATGTGTGCCATGAATAGCAAAAAACCAAAGCGGGAAAGAGACGGAGGGATCATCAGCATAAATTCAGTTTACCTCCAATCAGCATTAAAAAAAAAAAACAAACAACCTGATGTTATCGAAGCGTGGTTGCGAGTGAGAGGCTGACATGGGAATTCATGGTTAGTTGAGAAGACAGCTCCTTCTTGATTGCATCAGAGCGTTGGTATGTGTCGGGCCTGTGCAGATAGCTGCTCTAATTCAACCCCAGTCAGCGGATATTAGCCAACACCATGTCAGGCACATCCCCTCCTTCTTCTCTGCCTCTAATGGAGCACCTTCAGAGCACTGTTTTTATTTAGCATTAAGCATCCCTTCCTGGTCAGTGGGCAATAAGGCTCAGAAAGATTCAGCTGAAAATATTAGCTTTGATGGACTGAGCACGGTAACACCGCCGGAGTTTCTTTAAATTAAGTGCAACGCGGAGAGCGGAGCAGTAGATCTCTAAACACCTGGTGTGAATATAGCCGGTCTACTCTTTTATTGCGTGAGAGAAAACGTTCAATTATTAAATCTTTCTGCACAAATCCCATAAAATATACATGTGGTTATTTACAAGTGTTGTGTGGACGACACGTATGAATAATACAGACGTGGGAAGTGTTGCTGCGACTGGAAATTTCACAGAATGCATTCATCTGCAGGAAGGACAGAGTTCAGCAGCAGTTAAGAGGGGCTATATGTGTGGAAGCGGCTACGTTTGTCACCGTGCATTTCACCTTCTAAGTGCAAAGTTTAATTCAACCATACGTCATTATCGGACAGCTTGCTTTTCCTCTTTCCCCTGTAAGCTGATAATAGAGTTAGTTTAAAAAATCACGACACCCCGAACCGAAGTGACAAGGATTACTTATCTCAGTTGTTGTTCCAGGGAAACAATGCAATGGGACTCAGTCCCTGTTTGAGGATTTGAAAGCAGACACCATCGGCCCCCTCATCAGTGTCACTTTGAGTCTTATTCCAGACAATCTGATGTTAAATAAGATCCACAGCAGGGACCTGCCAGCTTCACACTGAAATAAATACAGTGCTCCGCTGACACCACGTGAGCCTTTCACACACAGTGGTGATAGATGCTGTATTTTCAAGCCTAATCTATTTTTAATCCCCCCACCCAACAAAACCGCTTTAAGACTTGTCACCCGCCTTCCACAGCTGTCCTTTCAATAAGGCTAATGTCAGTGGCATCAACAAATCCTCGCCATGTTGTTTACCTCTGAAGTGGATGACAGCTTGAGTTTACATGAGCGCGACGCTCATTTCATGAAACTTTTCGGGAGCCGCGTTATTTCTTTGTGTATGTTATCCAGAGATGAAAGCTTTGCCAGAGCAGAGTACATCTATTTAAAGAGGTATATAGTATGTGCGTATCTCCGTTTTTGACAAGGGCTATCGGCTGGAAAGATAAAGTTAATAAGAGACTCTACATCAGGCTGGAAATTATAGGTAATTAAATCGAGCTTTGACAGGACTTTAGAAGTGAACATTTTCAAATATGTCACACTGAAGAGAATTAGTGGGTTATTAGTGGTGCTGCTGGCATCTTGGAGAGCATATGCACTATTTTGGTGTAATGGGCCTTCTAACGCTTCCCGCTGCGTTTAAACCATGTCTGGAGAATCAGCTTTTCAACAAGATAAAGGTAAATTACTCACTTACTGACTTATAATGTACAAGTCATCATTCTTCAATTATAGCTCTGCATGATTCCAATTAGGCCTCACGTAATACTCCCCAAGCCTACACCAAATATGAGATGAAGTAAATGTGTGCTTCATCTCCCTGAGTTTGCCATAAAAGCTCTCTCACAGGCCCTTTACGCTTTGTAGCAGACTCCTGGCCCATAAATCTAGCGCTGTTCCTCCCCTTCATTCTAGATGTTAACTATCCATGATGCTCTAATCACTTTCCTCATCTCTTTTACCACATTTTCCCCCCGAGGAGCAGATATTTACATAATCAGATATCATTCCTGCTGTCATTTATTCTTTTGAAGATTAGAGATATTGGATTTTTTCTTCTTGTGCTGTTTGATACCATCTTTACTTGGGAAAGTTATGGACCTACAACCACAGAGACTAATTAAATAGACACCAGGATCTGGGCATTGAAGTGAGACTATGTAACTGTTGAGAGGAGAAATAACGCAAAATTTCCTCTTGAAAAAGTTCACAAGCAGTAAAAGGCACCTTTGCTCAGTTCAATACATTCAGGGGTTTTACTACTATAATATTACTTGGTCTGGTTTGACCAGATGAGGAAGTTAGCTTCTACCAAAAAAGGAGAAATGTGATTCCTGGACAACTTGCAATTGTCAAATTAATTTTTTTAGTGTTGTTACTGGGCTTGCTCACATGACCTACTGGTAAGTCTACTCTCTGAAATCCTCTGGTTTTGTTGAGAGGTGGAAAGTTGATGTGGAAATGGAGACCGGCTGCTTTTTAAACCATAATGCTTTGTTTTGTATTTCTACCAAGCGGCAACCTCCAGGGATGAAAAATGAAGCCAACATGAAAGTGCCAAAAACAGTGCAGTTCTTCAAATGGCCACCAGAGGCTGGCTCCAAAAGTGAGTCAATCAATCAGTCAATAGACTCCAATGTTAAAATGCCCAACTTTACAGCAGACATAAACATGTTTACAGCCTGGTACGAAAAACGGTTTCAGACTCTATAGCTAATTTCCCCTTTCATGATAACTGTACAGGGGGTGAATTTTAATATAGCTCGTCCATTTGAATTCTTATTAAGGCTAAAAGTTCTGCATAATTGAGGGCATGGCCTCTTTGAGTGACAGGTTATTAAACAGACATGGAAAAAAAGTCTCAGCTCCACACACGAAACCTATGGGTGACATTACCAAGGGTGCGTCCATCTTTATTTACAGTCTATTATTTCTTCACATGTGCCATGTGACTCTGGGGGATTTGGAGTTTTTTTTTAAAGAACCCTTAGTAAGAGCTGAGCTAAACGACAAAAGTAATGAGTAATGTAATGAGTAAATGATTATATTTTTCAAGTTAATTATGCAACACTGGTCCCACATCCATATTACATGCTAATTCTAAGCCAACTCTTTGAGTATGTAGTGTGTTCACACTGGGAAAGTAAAACTGTAGCTATTCATAGCTGGAAAAAAATCTAAACTATTCATAGATGGTCGTGAAACGGCTCTAGAGACACTTCAGAAAACAAAAAATAACCATTGAAACTCTTAGCTTTCTCTTTGTAAGTTTAACTGGCAGCAACAATTTAAATTCAGTTTGATTCAGTACTGTACTCTAAATACTGTATCATTTCCTGTTAGTATGAAACAGACTTCTTGTACATGAATTGCAAACACAGTATAAAGTACTATGCATTTTAGTGTATAGTGTTAGTCCACTGCTATTCCACACTAAAACTAGTATGTAATATGGAATTGGGACAGAACTGATGAGACTTCTCCACCTGTGTAGCTGTTATAGTAGCTTAGAATATTAGCATTTAGCATCATCGTGTAGGCACAGTACAAGTTACATTAAAAGTCATTCTATGATATTTTTTTACCATCCTTTGCCAAACTGGACAGAAAAGTGAATCTTTCATAAGGTTTATGGGGGGAAAAAAAGAGATATCTCCCTGGCAACATGTAAAGCTCGAAGCCCAGCCGCTATTAAAGATCATCAGCTAAGCCATGGCAGCTCTGCCACCCCTGCTAAGAGGCAAGCGTCTGTCCTTACTGGCAGACTGCTTTTGAATTATTTACTGCACACGCCACTGGTTATGGCTGGACTTTTACAACACCACAGAGCAGAGTTCTCCACACTTACTGAGGCACAAAACAGCGCACACAAAAAAAAAAAAAAAAAAAAAAAAAAAAAAAAGGAGCAGCGCAAAGGCGACAAAAGCGAGGAACCAGCTGTGAACAAATAGTAGTGCACAGTGGGTAGCTTAACAAGAGCACTCACCATTCACTCTGAGATTGACAATGTAATGCATTTCAGCGTCTTAATGTAAATGCAAAAACGTGTATGACCTGCGCTGTGCACTCAAGTTTCTATCTTTTATGTTCGAGAACAAAGAGAGTGTGATAATCAGCAGAGTTAAATGTCAAATAAATCAATTTTATCAACTAATTATTAACAACAGGAGGATGCATTTAGGCACCAACAGCTCTAAGGCATCTACCAACACACACACACACACACACACACACACAGAGCTGTGACAGTAGTTAGTTATAAGTGATAGCCACATGGGATTGAAGAAGAAGACTTCCTGAGACGTTTCTAATATCTTTGCATTTCCCTCTGCGTAACCAAAATCAGTTTAACAATAGTGGAGATGGAAGTGTTCTGTTTCAACCCTCATATCAACACTGAAAAGAGGAGACAAGTCCTGTACCTGCGAAAGCCACCTGTCAGAGATATTACGGCGTCCAGTGTGATCGCATGGACAGCTTCGTCAATAATGTTCCCCAGGGCCCGGGCCTCTGCTTTACTGACAGCCCTGGAGATGTCTTCATAATGCAGAAAACCTGCAGGGAAAAGACCACGTGGTTATTAGTCTGGCAGTCAGCCATCAATCACAGCCATTTGCTCTGGGGAAGTGGGGAGTCAGGGTGAATTAAAAGTAAGGTAAAATGTGATGTGCTGGCTCCTGCAGTCACAAGAGGATTACACTGAGACTGAGCTAAATTATGACGGATGGATTGATGGGTATCTTGTTGATTTCATGGATCTCACTTTGTATTTTCTCTTCTTCTTTTTTCGCTACATAAAAAGCATCAATTCCCTTTTTTTTTTACCCTTACAACAGACGGAGCAACAACATCAATTAATAAAGAAGAAATGTAATGATATTTCTGTCTGTGCTGCAGTAAAATGAATAAGATAATTCATGTTTCTGCCATTTCAAGATTTACAGAACACGGTGGCGAGATCAGGGTTCAAACACATTTTCCATGTCAAAAACTGGCATTATTTCTCTGCACGGAGCGCAGACCGCAGTGTTCCCAATGATGGATTGTGACCAGTTTGATGAAGATGTCTGTCAGTATAATACATTATCAGATGGAGCTTCAACTGAATGGGACCCAGTAAGCAGTGTAATATCATGTTTTGAATTACCGCCTCATGCAGTGCCACAGTACGGCGTGAGCATCCAGTAACATTCTGAGCAGCAGAGAAATGATGCAGACAAATGAAAAGCTGCATATCAGTGTTTCCCCTTAGAGACATTTAACCATGTATGTTAAACGCTCTGTGGGATTTCTATCACTGGCAGCAACTGAAGCCGATGTTATCTGCATGTCTGGCTGCTCTTGCATCGCTGTATTTTTGTTCACTCAGCTGTTCCTTTCAGATTTGAGAATTGCATCACCCCAGAGAAAAATATGCTCTAAACTAAAACTTCTTGTTCCGCACTTGCTTCAGTTTCCCTCCTGAACCAATTCATTATTTGATTGTTTTTAAGCCAGGCTAGTGGCATGGCTCTAGGGATGGCAATGACACTTTGCTCCAGGCTGAAATATCTCAAGACCCATGGATGACTATTACTTTTGCCCGGACATGGTCATGGTCTCCGAAAGATGGTTTCTAGGTTTCTAGTGCCATCACCACGGCATAGTTGTAAGTTGTGATCTTGATCTAATAATCTTGCCAAATATCTTCAAAATGAACTACATTATTTAATGACATGACAATAACTGTGGGATTTAGAGACTTTAACCGTGTTGCCCCTTGCCTCTGGAATTCACTTCTATAACACATCTGTAATACTGACTCTCTTCCTATCTAAATCCCACTTTAAAACACATCTATTCAAACTTGCCTATTCTATTTCATTCCATCACTAGCATCAAATGCAATTGTATTTATTATTAATTATTATTTATTGTAATTTATTTTGTATTTTATGCCTTGTACTTTCTATTTTATTTCTTCTACTGTGTGCTGTAAGATGTCATTGAGTGCCTTGACTATAAATAAAATGTATTATCATTATTATTTTTATTATTTATCATCAGCTTCAGCTTCACTTTGTGCCAATTACCAAATGTGCAACACGGAACATGGGCAACATGGGTAACAGTGACAAACAATGATGAAAACACCGATGATGTTTTAACCCTGCGGAAACAACGGCCAGTATCATAATAATATGATTAAATGTTAGGAAACAAGATCAAGATTCAACAGCCATGAGAGCAGCTCTGTGAGGCTGTACTGCACAGCACAGCAGCGCTTTGAGCTAAATGCTAACATTTGCTAATTAGAGAGAGTACAAAGCACAGCTGAGACTGCTGGGAATCTCATTAGTTTTTCTGATATTTGGTCATAAACCAAATTATTGGACACAGTTAAACTCTGACTTAATGATGGTGTTAGATTCAAAGTCAAAATTCATTACAGCTCATCATGAGGGGGACATGTGCTGTAATGTAGGAAGCAAAACATTCATTATTTGTGGAGACATTACACTGAAAATAAATGTCAACCTCATGATGGCACTAGAGTTCACCCAAGTCAGCAGAATGCACCTTCCGGGGACCACGAATGCCTGTACAGTTTTGTGCCGGTCCACCCCACTGGATGTTGAGTTGTTTACCAGGATGGAGGAAAAACTTTGACCTTCTGGTGGTGCTACAGGAAAAGTCAGGGCATCATCAAAGTCAATAAGCCTCATCTTCTAGGGGACCATAAATGTCTGTACCAAATGTCATCACAATCCATCCAATAGTTGCTGAGATATTTCAGCCTGGACCAAAGTGCTCAACTGACAGAACGACTGACACCGACATCCCCCGAGCCGAAATAAAGAAAAGAAAATTGGTGCTGTTGTTTCTTACGTCCTCCAGCTCCTTTCTTACACTTTTTCTCATCCAACTGTAGAAACATCACAAAATCTGTGTGACTCAACATGATGACCATCCTCACATAAACTATGCAATACTGCCATGTGCATCACTTAACCCTTCTGCTATAAGGTTACCTATAAGGTTACATGTCAAACAAATCATAACTTTTCCACTGTAAGTCAGCAGCCTCGCATGCTCTTTGATTTCACAGCCCTCTCTGACCAGCTGATTGATGAGCGCTTGTTCCACAGCAAGCATTCCCCCCTCACAGTCACTATTCATTGATTTTTATTAAAAATACTCCTGCTGCCTTTTGCATTGTGTTTTCACTGTAAACTCCCTGCTGGTCACATCTCATCTCGCTTTAGAGAAAACACATTACAGCTAGAGCCTCACATAAGAAAACCTCCTGTGGGACAAAAGAGGGACAAAAAAAAAAAAAAAAAAGCCTCAAATGATATGCAGGCCTCCTCTGGAGAAATTTAACGATTAGGCCTTTGAGTCTTTCTTGGAAGCAAACTCGAGTTGTATTTTTCAGCACAGTAATTTGAATGGCAGAGTGGAGACGATGAGATGTTGATGTACCAGTTTGTTGCATCCGGTTTAGTTGAATGCTGGGCTCTGTGAGAACGTCGCTGAATGAGCGCAGCCCTCTGCGGTACCACTTCTCAGCCGTCTTAGGTCCAACCCCAAACACACTCGTGAACAGCTGGCAGGAAACGAGGTAAGGACGTAATCAAGCAGACATGCTCTGAAATGACAGCCTCTTCTCAGAGGGGGTTAGCATTCAAAGTTTTGAAGAGCGCCACGTCCTTAAGAGATAGCGGATGCAAAATCGTTTTCACAGTGATTTGGAGGCAGCAGAATGGAGAAAGCACATGAACGATGGGAGTTGTTTTTCATTCTACTGACCTTTAGTGTTTGATACCTTTCATCAGAGAGTATTTTCTCAACTTCAAACGAGCGGCCATATCGAAGGATCTCCTGCAAAACATAAAAGTAGATGACATTATTAAAAGGAAAACACCACTGGTGTCAGTATCGGCATGTTTTCCTCTCGGTTTATGTTCCATCAGCTATTAACAAATGGCCCCAAATTTGCTGCACATTTGCAAACAGTTTCCACTTAAATCAGGTGTCCTCATTTAATTTCTTTTCAGGAAATAATGACTTTGTTGTTGTGAAACCTGGGATTAACACCGATTTTATGGCATTCATAAAAAGCCCAAGGTAATATTTTCCCCAGCTTCAATTGTTTCCTCTGAAACAACTTTGCTCTGCGTTTAATTGTCTGCCTGTTCTCAGCAGAGCACCAGTAATTTGCTGGTCACATTTTAACTGTCTTCATTATGTGAAGGCGTAAAATCAGACAGCAGTTATCCGGTTAATATCGACCATCTTCCGCGGGGAAATTGTAAAAGTTGTTAATGTTGGAAATGAGCCCTGCGTGTTGTGCGGTTTACAAGCAGCAAGTTTGTGCATTTTAAGCCCGTGCGTGACGGGATGACATCCGGCTTCAATGAACCAGTGAACCCGATCCAGAATGTGAGTACAGTGCAGTTTAAAGCAGCCTTCACTGCTCAATGATGCATCCACCCGTCCACCTCTGCTTTTCAACCCTCAAGCTAAGTCCAACCTCAAACACAAGGATAATGCTTCAACACACTCCCTGCTCCGGGGAAGACACACTCCGTCACATGCACAACGCCTCTCTCTCTCTCTCTCTCTCTCTCTCTCACACACGCACACACACACACACACACACACGCACAGAAAACACATACTGACTATTCATCCCCAACCCTGCCTCAGTGCTCCCAGACTTTCATGTCAGTAGGTTTATATCTTTTCTCCACTTTGGATGTTCAGTCAGCGGCGAGCGGTTCAGTCGCTGCTGACAGAGTGTCACTCCGATGTTCAAAGGCACATCAAGTGTTTTGTTTTTACTCTGTTTGGTTTCACTTTGTTTTTCGTGTCATGTCATTTTCTTGTTTTGAGCCGCGATCTGTTCAAAGAGACAACCTAGTGGAAAAAAAAAAAAAAAAAACTTCCACCGCTGGGCGCACGTCTGAATCATGTAAGAACAACAAGAGGGAGAGGTCAGTCGCAGGCAGTCTAATTTGGCCTCTGTGGTACAATTATGTTATTTTGTTTAATGCATCAGTGCTGAGATATTTGACAGATTTTGAAAGTTGCTCAGAGTGTGTATGTTAGGTTTAATGTGTCAGCGAGTTGGACTGCAGAGCTCACCTACAGGGATTCGGCGTTCTCTCCGAGCAAACATTTTTCGACACTTCCTCTGACAACCTGCCATGATTTCTGCCCCGAGCACGACTGTAGGTGATGGGATGATTGCCAAGTGATCCAATAAGACTTTTTTTTTCCCTTTTTTTTTTTCCCCCTTAAAAGACAAGGTAAATTTGTGTGATGCCTGTCAGTGTGTGCGCTCATGTGTGAGCATCTGTGTGGCAAGTTTTCTTAGCGCGTCTCTCTAGGACTCGGGATTTCAAAACCATTCTTGATATCTTGCTGAAAGATTGAATTTTTTTTTAACCCTCAATACCTCACAGCAAATGTGTTCTGCAATATGTTCCACTTCAGTGTCCACGAAGCATATTTGTTCAGATTGTTAATGTTAGAAGAAGAAAGATTCAGGTACATTCTTCTTGACAGTGCACAGAAACAATCAGAGACAAATTTAAAGAAATTCTCCAGCAAAAACCTTTGTTTTGAAATATCCCCTGTAGACTCGAGCTGGTCTCTCTATCAGAGCAAAAATGTGCCAAAAAAACTAAAACTCAGTATATATAGTTTTGATGTTTTTTGCAACTGCACTTGAAGATACATTCAAACTTCTTGCAATTTCCCGACTGACTGACCTTCATGTCTTAAAGTCACGATGGACGTCGTTTCTCTGTTCTTATTTGAGCAGTTCTTGACATCATATGGATTAGTACAGTTGTCCAATAGGGCTATTTACTGTATAGCAACATTTCAAGGACACAACACAACTGATGGTCTCAAACAAATTAAGAAGGCAGGAAATTCCACCGATTAACTTTTGACAAGACACATCTGTTAATTGAAAAGCATTCCAGGCGACTGCCTTAGGGAAGCTGCTTAAGATCATCACAATATTGTGCGACGCTGTCATCAAGGTAAATGGTGGCTACTAATTCCATATTGTTATTTCATAGTTCTGATGTCTTCGGTTCTACAATGTAGAAAACAATCAGAATAAAGAAACACCTATGAATGGGTAGGTGTGTCCAAACTTTTGACTGGTACTGTACATTGATGAATGATGGTGTTGTTGTATGTTTTTCTTATTGTCAACAAGTATATGGTGACTATGTTCCCAACAGCCATCACTTCAGTTGGAAAACCGGTTAGCATTTTAGCGCTTCCGGTTCTCTCCCTTTTTTTGAATGGGTTTTTGCGGTTAACACAAGCTCAAGACACTTCCATGTTTTATTCTACGACATAAAATGCATCAGTAAATACCCCAGTTGTGATTTCTTTAAGTTCTTACATCTCTTAAAAAGGCCAGTTGCTAACAAGTGGTTAAATGAGACTACAGAGGTTGTCAGGGACGTTAAACATCATCAAGCTGAAAACGAAAACCGATCTACTCACCAGTCCATCTTTACAGCCTCGTTGTGTTTATACTCCCACTTTTGCAAACTATCAGTAACTTTGTAAGAAGGAAGGCTTTTGTGGAAGAGGTCAGAGCTAAATCAAACCGCAAGTTGGAAGTTTAGTGGTGGTGACGTTAAGTCATGTGACTGTGGTGGAGTTTGTTTATAGCCTAAGATTAGCTTTTTACCTCTGGCAATTGTATAGGCTTCATACATCATAAAAGTGGTTCATTTTTGATTGTGATTATCCTGCTGAACGAAACATGCACGTGTTTATAAACTTTAGTTTGACACAGTTTATTTTCTGCAGTAATCCAAAGGCTATCGTAAAATCCCATTGGCTTTTTGTCAAGGAGCCAGGGTGATGCTAACTTCTGAGTTGGCCTTCAAAAATACATCATCCCTGCAGCACTCTATCTATGTACCACTCCAGTGTCACACTAATTGCCTCCTTATAGCTCTGACGTCCACTGAATGCACATTATTTAAAGAATAATACTGGTGTTATTCTGTGTTTTTCTTATAGTCACAAAAATTTATTTTCATTTTTAAATAAGGTCAGTAATTTCCTGCCAGGCACTGTAGTTTTTAGCACATGTTACTCAAACAGGGCTAAACGCTGCATTTGTTCAGAACTATTTTAGTATCAGTAAGTGGGCCCTTCATGTGTGCTGTTTTCCAGCAGGATGACTTTTATCTTCATGGGCTTGCTGTTATTTGAGTAGTAGTTGTTCATCACATCTTTCCTTACAAACTAAAAGAAAAGGGTCAAATGTTTGCGATGTATGTGCATGTGCATGTGCATCACACCTTTTCCTTTGTTCCATGCATCTCTAAAACAAGAGCAGGGAGCAACTGTCCCGAGACAAAATACAGCTGCTGCTTTTTAAAATGCCTTCGTCTCTCTCTTTGACAGTTTCACTTTAAGTGGAAGTACATCTGCTGTTACTCTGTCAGCTATTCATTTATCTTTGACTTAGATCATAACCCCGAATTTACAAGAGTCAGATATTGGTCATTTATATAATGCAGCACTAAATCACCCCTCGACATATTGCTGAATGTTAATATGTATATTAATAATATGTACAGTAGTTTCATAGAACTGAAATACAATTTGACAGCAACACAATTCGGCAAAAAGAGATTGCATTACAATTATAACTTCATCGGCTTTTATAGCTTATTGGTGGCAGATAGCGACACTCTTCATGTGCTGTGTTTCTGTTACTCTTGCAACTAGCTAGCAAAGACGTATTAGCTTTCACATACATTATACAATTCAAATGTTCAGAAGCTAACCAAAACCACCACGACCTAACTATCTAATCAAGCGTGTTACCATGAGGCGGTTAAGTTGTTCTTTGCAGCAATATCAAATGTGTGTATACCTTAAATTAGAAAGTGGCCAGGGTTACTGTTTTATAGTGGAGTTAGTCAGTTCTCTCAGTGTTGTTGCACTTCATATAAATCAGTAATAAAAGTCCATAAAGGTCATGGTTTACTGCAGCATTAATTTTGACTGTTTCAGTTCATCAATCACATCTCCTATATTTAGCATCGCTGCTGGCCGTTCTCCAATGCCTTTTCCAAAGTGTTTAGAGCGACTTCCTACCTTCAAGGCAGGCACTGATTTTAGATCATTTCACAACAGTTTGAAAATCATGTTTAAGAGACCTGAAAGTCATGTGGTGAGAGATGTGATCCATCACAAAAGACATTACATCATGTATTGTTTGCAAGCAGGGACTGATTTGAACACTTTGAAAATTTGAGAGGCAGCGTCTGAAAACTTTACAGTCACAAGCTTCTGTACGTTGTCAGAAAATCAAACCCAGAAGACTAAAAATGTTTGCTGTCCTGTGCATTTAGCACGGCCGCCCAAACTGAGCACTATTGTTTCATGACAACATGACTCTCAACACATCACACAGATGAATTGGCTGTCAGCTGGACTCTGAGTGGACTCTCGGCCTTACCTCTATGAGTTCCTTAGTATGTTCCCCCAGGCAGGGCAGATCCTGAGTGTCCCCCAGACTCCGCACCTCAAAGGTCAGACTCTTCAGGACAGATCCGGCTCTCCTGAACGCCAGACACGGACCCTCGATCTCGTTGAATTCATAGCTCTCTGCCAAAACTTCAAACGCTTCCTATGGCGAGAGGCAGGCAAGGACAGGTGAAGGGAGGTAGAAGAATAATGTAGGAGAGTAGCTAAGATAGCAAAAATAGAGATTTTCACTCGTATGTTAAATAAGGCAGGCTTACTGTATTTACACAAAGGAAGAGAAAACCAGGGGAGTAAGAGACCAATCGAAAATGTGTCAGGTGTGCATTCACATGTGAGATGCACTGAACCAGACAGGAAACCAGACAGAGTACTGAACTCCCTCCAGTTCCTTCCTCCCTCCCCTGTCAGCCCTCTCTGTCCCTGTCCCTGTCCCTGTTGCTGTCACTGTACAGCAGGACCTGCTGCATGTTGGTTTCTTCTGGATGACCGGACAGAGACATTAGAGGCCGGTGAACACCAGATTGGAATCTGTCATTTTCCACTTGTTCACAACAGGCTGCCCACAGGGACAGCCACTGACTTTCCCTTTACAAACCCTCAAACCCTGAATGAAGGTATCTACTGTAGAGAACATACAGAGAGAGCACAACTCTGCTAAGACCATACACGCCTCTTTTTTTTTTTTTAATTCTAAAGTTGTTTATTAAAAGCTGTGCTGCAATTATAGTGAAAAATTTATTGAATTGACCTCCAACTCTGCAGTTCACCATCAGCTCTACGAACTCACTGTTTTGGTTCACTCTCATCACTCTCGTAGTTGCTCTGTAACAGCACTGTCAAAAATTCATTGTATGCTGGTGAACACAACAATTTACATTTTCACCAATGACAATTTTTATCTTATCAATTTTGGGGCTGCAACTATTAGCTGGATTGATTAGTTGACAATTGTTTTTAAATCTTATGGACTAAACATGCATCAATTGATAAAAAAAAAAAGTTAAAGTTAAAAGTTAATTGTTAACTACACCGTTAGGAGATAACATGTCCATGTTGTATTCACAGCTTTGTTGTATATTGTTGTATTTACAACAAGTCAGACCCCATGACAACTGAAATATGGAAATGTATTCATGATACTGATACTATAGCACTGTCAACAGACAAACTGCGATCCAGTTTTGTAGCATTGCTCTTAAAGGAGATAACTGTAAGTTTTGCTATTGCTACATAGGCAGCGTTAGCATAAACAACTGTTTACTTACTAGTCTAGAAAAAAAAAAACGCTGCGTGCTGAGCTCAGCATCACACTTTACTCCTTTACTCACCAACAGCAGTCTCCAGAGGTGGAAAGCAACCCTTTTGCAGCCGTTTTGTCACAATCTAATACCAACCAGTCACTGTAGTGTCCAGTCTGCCTGAATGGCACTGCTTTGAGGGCGTATTGTAACCACTTGTCTTGCAAATGCAATGATGCTCTTCGCATTAACAGCTGGTTACTTACCAGTCTTGGTAATGTTGGCTATGTAGAAATAGCAAAACTTACAAATAGCTCCTTGAATGGATGTGTGTGAGTCATATAGATTTACTTTTAATTGCACTGTGCATTCAGGAATTATGGCAATTTATAATTTTTTCTTAGCATTTATAGAGCTAAAAACAAATGAATGACTTTTTTGGGGTCAAAATCTATTACGTACTAAATCTGGTAAAGACTGGACTTAATATTGCCATGAGGAAAAGAGAATTGATATAATAAAATATTTCCGACATTTCATTGTTTAAGAGTTATAGGTAAAACTTTATTAAATGCTTAATAAATGGTCACATGATCCTCACTAAATCCTACTTCTAGTTACTAGAACTAGGAGGGTCAACATCATTTGCATTTAAAGTTTATTGTTATTGCAAAGAAAATCACTTCATGGGACAACTCCACTGTCACACTTTCTAATACTGGCATGCAGCTGAATAGTTGGCGCCGTGTTCAGCTGGATCACTTCACGGTTTGCTGCTGCTCAAGTGATGAGCTACTGTTGCAGAACCAAACATGTCACCACAGAAGAGCTGGATCATCAGTGTAGCCACTCATTAGCTAAACAGGTAATATGTTTATGTCGGTTATGACAAAGTGTTTCAAATGAGGTTTCTGTCTGAATGTCTCTGGGATGGAGCAGGTTGGTGCAGGGAGGAATGAAGAGCTGCAGGTGGGTTTTCTCTCTGCAATATGAGAACTCCATCACTGCCAACACCACCTTCCTGAATGAAACAAACTGGTTTTCATTGAAACAAGAATATGAAATTCTTACTTATATAAGGTGCCAGGTGTAGTTTCTTCAGTTTAAACCCATTAAAAAAAAAAACATTAACAACAATTAGGGAGAAAAACTACAGTTTTTGAACATTTACTCAAACTGCTCAAAAAAAAAAAAAAAAATTGTGCAGCACGTCTAAAATATCATGGAAAAGAGTATTTGTACAATTATCACATTTCACTCATTTATATAAGCATATAACTCAAAATGCTAATGTGTCACTGCATGAAAATGTATTCTTGCCAAACCCCTAAGCATTTAGTGTTATGTGCTTCTCTAAATGAGAGAAATGTGATAATTGAATTTTGTGTTGATGTGCTATCTCACTATGTCATTTTAATTTGGTGTGTTTTTACTCTGTACGCCTCCTTCAGAAATTCTACCCCAACCCACAAGTTTTATTATTAACCTCAAAGATGAAGTTGCTTCTTGCCATGTGTTGAATTTTTACAAACCCAGTATGGATAAAGCAATTTCTTCTTTCTTTCTACCTTCTTCAACCTATTCAAATTCTGTGTGCGGAGTATTATGTCTGTTCAGTCCATTTCCATGCATCAACAATAATGATGAAGGAGGTCTGATGCTGTGCAAAGCTGCTCCTTCGATAAAATGAAGTTTTTGTGCAACAAAGAATGCTCAGAAGCAAAGCCACCTGTTCTCACTACAAAGGGTCAAACTGAAAGAGTTGAATTAAGTGGCACCCATCAAAAGAGCCAGACCCACATGAAAGAGGCCTCTGACAAAACAGCAATGAATTTATTGATGTTATTTTCAGAGTTCAACTGAATGCTAACTTAAATTGCTTCAAAGCAACCTTATAGCAACAGTATACCACCAGCTTGCAGCTAATGTTTTTGCAAATTATTAACACATGAAACAGGTGTCATGATAGTGCACTGAAAGACAAAGGTTGTGAAAGGTTGTGAACATCTTGTAATTACTGGAAAGCCACTGTGTGTTGTTGAAAACCTAGTGGAGCAATAAAGGAACATTGCAAGAAGCTCTCCTGCAAATACTGTATGTAAATCGAACTGATTCGTTTTTACAGCTCAGCAGCAGGTAACATGAAGCAAGAGGAAGAAGAAGAAGAAGAAGAAGAAGCAACAACATGGGCATCATACTTACGTCTTCTTTTTCCAGCACTCACTGAATGTAAATCTAAGGGACAGGTTAGGCTTGACAAGAACTAGTATCATGTGTTGTCTGCCCACGTCCAGAGGCAAAAGTGTTTATAGCTGTTCCAAATGGACACTTTCAAATTCAGATCATCAAAGAGAGGTGAGATATGATAATTGATAAAAAATAAATAAATAAATATGGAGATAACAGTACACACTTTCAGGTTCTCCTACAAGGAATTCATAGTGTTGCACTTGTTTACAGTATATTCACAAAAAGTGACAGAAACAGTTTGAGAGGGAAGTTGCATCACTGCATGAACTGGGCATGAATGTTGAAACTGTCAGATTCAGCCCCCTCGTGTTGGAGAGAAAGGCGTGGGGAAAGGGCATCTCAGACACTGTTAAGCCACCTGACAAGAACTACAAGAGTATACTGATGCCTGAAAAGAGTAATCCACCAATTTAGCAACATCGTCAGACTCACGATGGAAGATGTAAAGCGATGCACTTCTTCGAATGGCCCCTTGAGGCTGGCTCCAAAAGTGAGTCAATCCCCTTAGACTCCCATGTTAAAATGTCCAACTTTACAGCAGAAATAAACGTGTTTACAGCCCGGTACAAAGAATGGTTTTGGTCTCTCAGGCTAATTCCCTCCCTTCTTGTTGTTTGTTCCACCAACTTCTGAGAAATTATCCAGGGCTCTAACAGGGATTTCCACCAGTGCATGCAATGTCCAGCTGGGTGAAAATAGTAGCCAAGCTGGTTGACGGGGGGGGGGGGGGGGGGGGGGGGGGGGGGGGGGTGCTACCACTGCTGCCCAACAACTTGAGCTAAAGATGTCTATAATTTTTATTAATTAATTAATTATTAATTAATAATTTAATTTTTTTTTTCTCTAAAGTTCACTTTTTGGCCGCTAAGGATCTCTCAATCAAAACAATAACAAATGACGGAGTACGATGATGTCATGAATTAGCGTGGGATCATGGGAGTTGTTGTCTAAATTCTTAAACAACTCATTCCCATTTTATTTTTAAGGTTAGAATTCCTTCATTGTTCAGGAGGTTTTTACCAGGAGCCAAATTATCTACAAAGGTCCCCTCTTCTCCAAAGCAAACGGACCAGGTCATTAAACCCGGTAAAAACCTTGAATCAAGCAGTTTCAGGATAAAAATCTGTGTTTCTCTGATGCTCTTGGGCGGACACAGAACATTAGGGAGGGGCTGCGAGAGGAACTTGAGAGCCAGACGTCCAAGACTAAAATCCTTCATCCGGTTAAAGGTTACAGTTATAAGGTTATAAGGTTATAAAAAGTGACGGTGACATGACATGAAACAGTTGGAGAGTAGTAGACTGGAAATGTTTTAATGTCCGGCCATCTGGACATCAGGCTGGGCGCTTATGGAAAACTCTGCTCTAATGCATGATTCACTTAGAGCCCTTTACCTTCTCTGACCACCTTTTCAGGCTTGGCAGCTATTGTACAATAGTCCTTTTTCACAGCTGACATTTTAACTTGTCATAGTGTGAAAAGCACAGGTGTTACTAATAACACTGACAGCTGCTCAGTTCTATTCAAGTGTCCCCGTAAGCCATGACAGTGTGGCACTGACCCTGAACTTAGGAAAGAGATAGTAATGGAAGACTTAAGGTGCTGCTGATGACCTGTTGTCACTTTGCAGCCAAAGGAGACAACGTTTGATTCT